TGCTATATATATATATATATATATATATATATATATATATATATATATATATATATATATATATATATATATATATATATATATACACACACACACACACTTGTAGATGCAATGTTTCAAAAGATTGGTTTGCAAAGCATTGACTCAGGGAGTTAGAACCCAAGCATGACCCATTTCTCTCATTGTTTTTAGTTAAATAATGAGTCAGCTTTACTTTTTCTTCCAGTTCACATTAATGTGCGCCATTGTGTTGGTTTGTCATATAAAATAAACCCAACTTAAGCACGTTGAGGGTTATGCTTGCTGAGTTCAGTGGTATCAGGTCTGTATTTCCGCAAGGCCCTGTTCAGACGGGACAAACAGAAAATCACAGGCTGCTGCGGGATCAGCATGCCCCTGTTGTTTTCACGAATCCTCTGGCGAGCTAAATCTACCCAAATGTGGGGCTAAACACGGCAGTCTGAAGTGAAACACGATCCCCGTGCAAATCGATGCCCAAGAAGAGAGCTGTGGTAGCTCTGACCTCTGTGTGAAGAAACGACCACCATCGCCCCTTCCCACATGGAGCAAACAATAATCAGACTTGAACCTTCACCCCCGACCTCCTCCCGTCCTTCCCGAAAGACCTACGTTACCTGGTCGGGATCTTGACCCTGAGATAGCGGTCAATCGCGATGGCCAGCAGGGCCAGGATTGAACTTTCCGTCAGCACCAGCATGGTGCACGTCCCGAGCAGGCAGCTGTAAAAGTAAGTCTCAAGTCCGATGCTGACCGTGATGGCCAGGGGGATGACCAGCGCTCCCACCGCAATATCCGCCACAGCCAGGGAGACGATGAAGCAAAACGTGGTGTCTCGCAGGGACTTATTAATTTTCACCGCCCAAACCACCATCACATTCCCTATCACGGAGGCTACAGCTATCAGGACCTCCATGCCTATGTAGAGCGGCGGCGCCGAGGAGACCGTCCCGGGCATGTCAGCAGATCTCTGTGATCAACAAAGACGTGCACACTATCTTTGTTTTCTTCTCTTGTCCTCTAAGGTGTTTCCCAAATTAGTTGTGCGTCCGTCAGTCTCATGGCGCCCTTATTCCCCACTCTGGATGCCAGATGTACATCTCGAGGGACCAAATCCAGCTATTAAAAATAGGAAAGAAGCGGCGAAGACTGCGGGCTGTTCCTCTGAAGCAGGTGTTTTTGTCCAGCGGCTCCAGCGGGTCGCTCCCGCTCGGTTCCCTGCGTCCCCTCCACTTGGCTGGATACACCTGCTTCTCGTAAGCGCAGCATCCTTCCCACTGGCTCCGGTTTCTTCGAGAGGGCGCTGGGCGTTTTGTCAGCCTACGTCTTTCAGTTTGACAGAGCACGTTTTAACAGCGCCGCTGCCTGCGCATTTTTGGCAGGAAAGCGCGCACAGATTCAGCTCCTGTGCAGACGGCAGTGCGCTCTGTCCCCCATCTCTCTCTCGCTCTCTCTCTCTCGTCCCTCTCTTTCTTTGTCTCTGTGTGTTTTCCTTTCTCTTTTTTTATTAGGAGTGACCGTGAAGCGTGAAGCTCCAGATGATTTCATTTGCCTCTGTTTTCGTTTATCAGAGCCTGTTGGACCGGTTTCTTTTCTATGTAATGGGGTGGATTCATTGGAGGGATGGTTTGTTCCGTAACTAATCTTTCAAGAAATTATGTGCAACTTTCTGTGGGACCATCCCAGAGGAAGTCTCGCTCTCCTCCCCGAGGATATTTCTCTGCCACGGGCCTCGACAAGTGCAAGTGTTACACACTTTCCAGAGAACTGTGAGATTCATTTTGTTCTTGGCGAGATCTCAGTTTCATTTGCATTTTTCACACAAAGACATGCAATGGTTTCAGATATGTGTCCACATGTGGTACATGCTAAATACTGATACAGGTGTGGACATATTTGTTGCACATAGATGTGTAAAAAGCTTAAAAAAATAGAATGATCAATAGTTGTTGTGACAGTGTCTTACACTGTAAAAAAGAAAAAAAAAACTATTACCGTATTACCAGAATTTAATTTTGTGGCAACCACATCTGCCAGTATCTTACTGTAAATTAGAGACGGTTCTTTTTACAGTGTAGCTCACCAATCTTTGATACCAGAGATTTTATTCGAGTTCATTGTGTTTAACAGAATCGCGGGTGGCCCAATCCTTGGTGTTTCCTTTTGCCTGTAAAAGCATTTTGTCTTCTATCCTCGCAGACATGATCATGACAGAAACAATGAAGAAATTTGCACATTCAGGGGTGAGAGAAACAGGGCATAGCAGGCAGCATAACACGAGGAACTGACAGCTGACTCACTGAGCTGAGACGAACAGAGGAGAGTAATTACTGACGAGTTGCATTTGTGAGTGAGGGCCAGGGACTAACTTCACATAACAAAAACAGTCAAGAATTAAGGACGGAACCAGGAAAACAGAGGCCACATCAAAACGTGGACATCAGAAGGCAAAACAATGCAAAGGCAATACAAAGTAGGGTTGTTTGTAGTAGGTCTTCCTCTGGTCATGAGCTTCCTCTGCTTCCTCTCTCCAGTTTCTGTATCTTTTGTATTCTTGGAGCATTGGTGACCCCCCTCTCCCCCTCTCTCTCCCAGATGTAACTCTTTTCTGTAGTTTTCTTTGCTTTCCAAGGTAAAAAATTGGTTTCAGTTAAGAATACTGAACTGGGTCACTGCATCACTTTTATAGGATCACATTTATGCCTCAGGAAAACAAAAAGTTTTTAGATTACTAATTAATTAGAAAATAATAGAGTAAAACAAAAAGTTAAAAATGAATTGAGTTACATTTACTTAAAGGCATTAGGGTAGCGGTAATTGTGACCCCAGTGATTTTATTTTTTACAAATTGTTATTTTATGGCATGTTTTAATCCCTTTTTCAATACATGCACTTAAATTAAAGCTTATCGTTTTCCATTATTTTGCATTGTGAGATAATTTTGCTGCAATGAATTTTGAACTTATTTTAAGGTCAAGGCCAAATAAATTTATTGCTCTAAGACACTTATGAAACAAATACGGATAACTCTTTGATCTGGTCCTACATACAATCTGAGAGGCACAGTATCTTATCTTGTTTAGAGTTCACAGTGAGAGGCATGAGCTTTGAGCAAAGGCAGGGATGATCAGTCATACTGAAAGGTGTCACAGATGGTGCACTTTACTCACTCAGATGTTTTATGGGAGCGGGAAGGCAGCATTTACACTCGGTAAGTTAATTATTGTAGAAAAAGACATGGCAACATTGGGGTAAACGTTTATATGGATAGGCAGTTGTGGCAGGAGGACTGAAAATACTTGAGCTGTGAAAATTGTCAGCTTGAGTTAGCTATAGAGGTCAGCCAATACAGACAGGGGAAGGTAGCAGCCATATGGCCGCCCCGCGCTAACTCCCACTCACCTGGGAGCTCATAATGAACATGATCCAAGCCATGGATGGAAAAATCAATCATCGTAGAGTTCATGTTGAAACTAACACATCAGTACTGCTGACAATTAGATACTGTAGGTTCACCCCTTCCAACTTTTTTTTATTTTTTTTAGTTTAAATTACAGAGCCGTCTGAGCAAATGTTGTTATAGTGCGGTGAACCAGAGCGGGGGACGCTCACCTAACTTTGTTTCCAGACGCCCAAACATAGTTTATTTCTGAATTCTGTCAACACACGCTGAGGACAAAAGTGCACAATCGAAATAAAGGGTTTCAGACGTCCCTGCAATGGCTTGATGTATTTACATTTAACCCTAAATTGTTCATACCCCTGGCCTTTTTAAATTCAGCATTTTTTTTCTTCGTTGAAACAACAAATGAGAAAAGTTTCTCTCAAACTATCAAAAATAAATCTGTGATAGTAGTATCAGTTTTGAAGCAAAAACAATTCTCCATCAGGCTGAAGTCTAAGGTTACTACCAAGGTTACTTTAAAGCTACACCTGTCAGAGGCTTGAATAATTTTGGGCTTTACTGTACACTCTTCACACGATACTTTTCAGGTTTCCCGGGATGTATTTCTGCAGCACCTCTGAATCACTCATGTGACAGGAGGTTCAGTGAGACTTACTTTAATGCCCGCAGAATGTGAACATAAAGAAACGCTTCAGTAAACATTTGTCAGATTTTGCCATTTGAGGCTGAATGACCAGTGAAGTGCAGAGTGCTTCAGCTGTGTGAACCAGATTCTGCTGTCAGTGAACATTTTCTGTGGCGTCTAGAATCAAAAACAATGCAACCTATAAAAGTGATATCACAGATTTACTTGGATCCAGGTACAAACGCCTGTTTGCATACAATTGCCTGGGCACCAGTACAACATATTTGTTTTACATACATACATTATATCAATTTATATGTATATATTGTTTGTTTAATTTATTTGTGAATTTCTAGCACAGCACTGTCACCCCGTGCTTGCAGTCAATCTGCACCAGCCGCAGTTTAATTGTTTGGGACAATTATGATTGTAGAACACACTTTATTTTTTCACAAGCATCTTCAGCATTGAAATAGTCCAGCTTTAGAAGAATAAATTCACGGACGAGATTTCCTACATTACTTTGAGATGCATGTTAAAATAATAATTACCAGCCCAGCCAAACACACACACCACTTTTCTGATAAAATATTAAAGAGATGTGCAAATCATTTTAGCCTTTTTGTCTGTAGCTTCATTTAAGATTTTTTTTTATACTTCAATATTTATGCCATTAACTTTCATTTGAATCTTCCACATGCTTAACAGTGTAAGTGTTCATTTTATTAAAAGGTCAGTATCATGTAAAACCGACTTTTTTGAGCTTTACATAATTATTTCCTCATCAAAAACATACTGGGAGTGTTACCTTGATTCTTTAATGCATGCTTGAGAAATCCCCTAATCTCCCATGGCAACCATTCAGCTTCCCAAAATGTCTGGGAAGACCAAACGCCACCTTCAAGGTGCAGCTCCTCCTCGGGCATGCGGTGTTCACGATACAGAGCTTATGCCTAGCGGAGCGTCCCACCCCATCTCAGCTCCTTCAGACTAGCCAACAGCAGTTAGCAAACAACTGGTGGAATTGCACTTCTGCTGAGCTCCTTATACATCTTTATACGAGATGCTGCTCAATGCAATCCTGGTAAAAACATTGCTAAAAGGTTAATAGAGGTGCGCAGTTGTGATGACTTCCTGAAGGCGGCGTTTCAGAAAGAGCAGGAGTTTTTAAAGAGACAGAGGTCTTATTTGTTTCAGAGTCACATGCATCCATCCATCTTCTGACAGCCTTATCCTATTGGGGTCGGCAGGGGTCCTGGTACCTATCTCCAGCTGTCAACGGGCGAGAGGCGGGGTAAGCCCTGGACAGGTCGCCAGTCCATCGCAGTTCAGAGTCACAATTTCTTGAAAAATTGCCAAATTAGTGCTAACATCTACACAAAAACAAGTAATATTAATCTTGTTAAATTCTGAAAATAGTGTTTTGTGCCTTTTGGTGATGCTTTGAGTCTTATCTGCTGAACTGTTAAAAAAGCCACGTGTGCTGGGTGCCAAAAAACTGCACGCCTCAGACATCCTGTAGAAATGGGAAGCTTATGCTTTTCATGGCTGAATAGGCGGTTAGTGATGGAGACTGGACGGCCCACGGTGTGACACGGGAGGGTTTTATAAAGCACATAAAGCTTTTTGTTTTGATGTACAAGAAAATTTATATGGCTATTTCATCTGCTCGGATGAAGAACAACGCAATGAACCATCATCACAATTTAATGAGGAAAGACATTGTCTGCTGAACTAAGCTCAAAACTATTATTACTCGATCATTAAAAAGCCCCAGTGATGAACTGCTGAGGTCTTCTCGGAGGACTACTCAACCGGACAGAATGAAAACTTTGGATCGCAACACATTAATCAGAATCTTTTCCTCACACGGTAGGTTTTATTATGTAAAACCAAAAATGTTACCATCATTCCAAAAAAACAAACAAAAAAAAAAAAAAAAAAAAAAACACACGAACCAAAAAACTGGAACTCTAAGGAAAACATAAATTAGTCAGGTGGACGTTCTGATTAATTTGAAACCCTCTGGAAATGAGCAGCACGTAACAGTGATTCTCTTCATTTTCAAATAAACCCATGTTTCCTTAAAAATGAAGATGCAAATGTAGTACAGTTAGTTTCACTTCTGGAAGTAATTTTGAACAGCTTGGCTCTATAAAAAGTTACATTCACAAGAGCAGTGTCTTCCCCTTTTCAAAAAAAATTAATAGCATTAAAACTGTAATGTTAATCTCAGGATATTGCATATTATTGAATTCTGTAAAATGCATTTACAATATTAAACTCCACATTATCCGTGTGACCCAGATTTAAGATAAGGTGGCCAGTGTTGTGACTGCTGAGTCTCATGTCCTGCTGTGAACAGAGGCTATCTATTGATTTCCTGTTTGCAAAAAAAAAAAAGCCGTGTGGATGTCGTAGTTTCTCTCTTCTCAGGGCTGTTAGCTTCCTGACCCACAACCTGTCCGAGAAATTTACCACAACACCCCACTTCAGGCTTGAGCTGATACTGAAAATGAAACACATCAACAACAAGCAGCTGTCGTCACACGAAAGGTCTCTGTTGCTCAAAAGAGGGATGTTTGGTGAGAGAATCTCTCCAAACACCCTGCTGATGTCAAGGATTACTGATAGGCCTGTGCAGAGCCTGGAAATGGTGAAGTCACTCGCCCTCTAAGTGTTTTGACCAAACAAGCCAAGAAAATCAACTA